GAGGGAAACAGGTCCGTGACGTAGGAAGTGGTGAAGGAAGTAGTAAATGCAAGCAGTCCGGAGTGTGGGAACAGTTTATGACGATTAGATTAAGGTTTTTGCAATCCTAAAATGCTATGGGAAGGGAGGAAAACAGGCCTGCGACGTAGGAAGTGGTGAAGGAAGTAGTCAAGGCAAGCAGTCCGGACTGTGGGAACTGTTTATGACGATTAGATTAAGGTATCTGCAATCCTAAAATGCTATGGGAAGAGAGGGAAACAGGTTCACGACGTAGGAAGAGGTGAAGGAAGTAGTAAGGCGAGCAGTGTGGAATGTGGGAACTGGAAACCATTTGTATCTGCAAAGCTGAAATGCCATGAGAAGGGATGGAAGCATGCCCACGACATAGGAAATGGAGAAAGAAGTAGTAAAGGGTAGCAGTGCGGAGTGTGGGGAATGTTTGTGGCAATTAGATTAACGTATCTAAAATACTAAAATGATATGGCAAGTGATGAAAAATGTCCACGACGTAGGAAGTGGCTTAGGAAATAGTGAAGTATGAGCATAGTGTGAGAATCGTCTGTGGCAGTTAGATTAATGTATCTTCAATCCTAAAATGCGATGAGAAGAGAAGGAAACATCACCCACGACGGAGGACGTGGTGAAGGAAGTATTAAAGGCTGGCAGTGCAGAGTAGGGGAACCGTTTGGGCAGTTAGATAAATGTGTCTGTAATCTTAAATGTAATGAGAAAGGATGGAAACAGGTCTATGACGTAGGAAATGGTGAAGCAATTAGTACGGCTAGCAATGCAGAGTGTGGGAACTGTCTTTGGCAATTACATTAATGTATCTGCAATCCTAAAATGCTATGGGAAGAGAGGGAACAGGTCTACGACGTAGGGGGTGGTGAAGGAAGTAGTAAAGGTGAGCAGTGTTGAGTGTGGGAATGGATGAATGTATCTGCAATACTAAAATGCTATGGGAAGAGACTGTAGACTTTTTAGGTTAAAATGATTACGAAGCACGAATCGATACATATTTTAGATACATGCAATCGTTTACAATTCAAATTTACAACTGAGTTGACAACAGCTGATGTTTTACTCCATAGAGGCTAAAAACTATTTTTACTCCCTAGAGAGTAAAAATGCTACTTTAGACCTGCAACGCATAGACGACTGTTTTTACTGCAGTATGACAAAAACAATATAACATAAACCCTCGATGACTCCGCTCAATTTTGTGGATGCCTCTGCGAACGCCACCTAGTATATTAAATGTTTTTCCAATTTTTATGCCTATGTCTGAGGATTTAACTTTTTGTAATGCTTCTAAGGCGATGTTAAACAGCATTGGTGACATCCCATCTCCTTGCCTTACGCCGGTATTGATTATTTTTTATTATTAGTTTATTATTATGTGTTTTAATATTTTTTGGGATGGGGGCAACATGTTACACACATTTATTTGGTTTTAAATAGGTTCTAGGTATTTTTTTCGTATTTTTAAAGTCTCGAAATTCACGACCATGACGTGTCCCTAGGGTACATTTTCCAACTTTCACACTGTTTTTAGACTAATTATTAATGCCAAAATATATAAAGCCATATTTTTATGTCATCAATGGTTATTAAAATTACAAAAAAGGAGCATATTATAATTTTATTGTCATTACAAACTGACTACCATGACAAAATAAGTCTGTCCCTCGATTTGGCGTCACGACCATTTGGGAAAAATTTTGAACTTTGGAGCACGACAGTGGCAAGCCTGGCGTCGATGGAGTCAGTTGGTTTTAGAGACTAGTTTGGGGTGTACGTCAGGATTCTAGTGCCGGTCATTTCGAGTTGAAAGGAGGAATTACAAGATTAATAAAGGAAAGATTGTGTTTTTTGTAATTTTGGTGTGTCCATGACCGTACGTAGTCATTCGATGAAGTAGACATGGTGTTAATTTTTGTTTATAAGATATTTCAATTGCTAGATTAACGTAGAAGTCCACTTTGTATCCTCGAACATGAGGTGCAGGGCTACCGCCAGAACAGAGCCAAATAACACGTAATTTCACGACCAAAGTTTCACGACCATCGCGGGTTTTTCACGACCAATCCAGCATTATGGATTATAGTGTGTTTGGTCGTGACAATAACTTTAATATAATTGTAAATTGAACAGTTTAGTTCAATTGAAACACATATTTTTATTATAACTAACAGGATAATTGAAGGATTGTTTAGAAAGATTTAGATTATTCCAGACAATTCACGACCGTACTGCTTGTCCCTGACCATCACACTTATGATTTCGATCATAAAAATTTCAAAAATTAAAATATCGTCATATTTCAATGTTTTATACACAAAAGAAGCACACCTCTATACAAACATAACGATTTTTCGGGTCTCAGGTAAGTTTCTTCGGAGTTATACAAATTTGAAAAGATTTTGTTGGCTTTTTTCAATTTTTTGAGTTTTTTATTTTTTTCTAGAAAGACCAAATATACCAAAAGCTCAGTGACCTTTTTATTGTATAATGGTCATAAAAGTAAATTAGTTTATAGCAAAACATAGTTATACAAATAATATTAACTATTTTTAATATTCATTTAAACGTCCGTTATGGTCGTGACAGGATTTTGTGTTTTTCAACTAAAGATGCTCTTTTAAAAAGAAACTACCAAAGATATTGTGTTACCATGGACATTTTATGAAACTTCCAAATGTTAATGAAATAAAAAAAATAATAAAAGTTTTGAAAAAAGGGGAAACGAATTTGCAAAGTGCTTTTCCTGAAAACGTACGTTTTTAAATTTTCACTCCCGATCATCATGTACTCAAACGAGAAGCTTACTATTACCAGCAATGATAAGCCAAATTTGGTTGTGATATATCTTTTCGTTTTAAAGTTATAAAGTCGTCCTAAGACTGAATTGTCACCCTGTATATAGATTTTACACAAAACTTTTTACATTATTTATAGTCCCACAAACTTATAACAAGAGTTTTTTTTCTTTACTACTTCAGAATGTCTATTTTGATGACCTACAACGTCAGGACACTCAGTATAAACTGTATACAACTTACTGAAATGTTGGCCATAACTTTGAGGCCATAAGCTTTATTTTCTAATTTCTATAAGTAAGGTTTTAATCCGTTTAAAGCTGTACCGGTACCTTAGACTCCTTCTTATCCTCGGGACCAAGGGCAGTCCAGATAACGGTTCTTCTGGTTAAACCGACGTCCCCAAAAACTAAAATGGACCGTTTAAATGCATACTGTATAAGCCAATAATGATTATTACGTATTTAGACCAATAATGATTATTACGTATTTGATCACTGGTCTCAAATCTTTCCCACGAGAACAGTCATTTCAGTACCATCCACTTCCTACCGATCTAGTCCGGTTAAACCGATGTGCTGATAAAAATTGTCCGGTTAAAGAGATGTCATTTCCGCCGAGTGTAGTCCGGTTTAACCGATGTCCGGATAAGAGGGAGTCTACTTTAATGTTAAGTTATTGTGTAAAATATTTTCACTTAAAACTTAAAGTACCTATTTGTTACAGTTATTTTCTTTTATCTTCACCTATCTTGTGCAGTGATGGAAGTAAAGTAAAATTCCACTTCTATTTAATTTAAAATCCTATCAACTCAAGTACAACAATATTTTAATGTTATAAACAACTGAATTGTTTATAACTGATATTTTAATATAAAATACCCCCGCCGCAGCAAACCTGCAGACTAAGCAAATTCCCATTTGCTTTGATTGGATCTACACTAAAATGTCTCCTTTAAAATTTCACATTTATTCCCTATTTAAATAACATTAGTTTAACGAGTACTTAGGTTTGCTGCAACAGGGAGGGTAAAAAGTTTTTTTTTGTAAAATGTTAATAGTTTAGTATGAAATGAAGTCATTTTCCAAATTTGATCAAAATATGTTCATAAACGAGCTAACTACAACAGTTTACTTATTCTCCATAAGAATAACATGGGAATTTTATATCGACCAATTTTTGGAATTTCCTCCGTAACCATTAGGCGCATAATAACGCTTCAATACACTAAATTATTTGTTTTTTTAAGCTCTACAAAATGGTTTGAAAAGAAATTGCTAAATTTTAAGTTTTTATGGTCAAAAATGGGCAAAACCAATTTTTCCCCCATAAACCCCTGTTCCCATAGTCCGATCATACTGGTTCGCGAACTCGTTCAAATAAACGTAGGTTTACACGTTTGTACCAAATTTCATCAAAATCGGATGATTTTTGCTTGAGTTATTGCGCTAACGTACACATATATAAATATATATATATATATTATTTTCTTGCATGTTTAGGGCTACTAATAACACATATATATATGAATTTGAACGGATGGTGTTTTTGGCCTCTAGGGACCTCAAAACGAAAAAGTAAATCGGTCCCGGGTCCAGGTCTTACCATGAGTACTACGGTAATAGCTTATTCCCTATATGGGAAATTCGCTAAAAAAAAAAAAAAAAAAAAAAAAACTCGGACAAATGATTCAACCAAATATTACAGTATTATTTATCCAAACAAACCTCGGACAACTGATATTTTAATATAATTTATTAAAAAAGGACACATGAAAACTTGGACAGTTGATTCAACCAAATATTATTATTTATTCAAACAAATCTCGTACAACTGATTTTCTTAATATTTTGTAATTTTTAACATACTCAGACAAATGAAGTGATCCTCTGAATTCATATTTAGATAATAAAAATCATACGTTTCTCCCTTTATACTTGATACTAACTGTACTTAGAAGTCTCACTGGAAGCGCTGATGTGCCAAAGTCATAATTTTTTTGTTGGCCGAATAATTGAAAAATTCTTTCACAGATCAGTAACTCCAACAAAAGAAGAAGTTCTTTTCATTTGTTGTTTTCAAGACATTTTCATCTTCAATCTCCCTCCCCCCCCCACACACACACACTGATCAGCCTTTAATGAATACTGAATAATATATAATAAAATATGGATGTTTCAGATGCAGCAATACACTTTCCCAGACATAAGGATAAGAAACTTCAATTTGGGGCATCTCATTTAATACAAGCTAAAAATTGCTTAAGTATATCATCATATATCTCATATCAATAAAATGTTTTGAGGAAGAGATTTTTCAAAGATAAATTATATACAGGACTGGAAGTAGACTGGACCAGGTTATGAAGGACCGACATGGACACTGGATTGTTGTCTGCATATTTAACAGCTGATATTGGACTATTGTAGTGACGGAGTAGAGTGTTGAAGATATAATAGGATTCATAATTGAGTTTTTCATTCAAAATTTATGTGCTGTCCCTGGATTTTATGTCCTTATATAACTAGCTTCATTTATAAGCTTCACATAGTCAAAAAGTGCAGAAGTAAAAATGTCTAAAATCACTGAAAATCTTCCTCTTAAGTGTCCAATATGTAGAAAAATGTTTTCTACAAAAAGGAAAATGAAGAATCATATATATGTACATACAGGTGAGCATCCCTTTAAATGTTTGACGTGTGAGAAAACATTTATTCAATTAAATCAAATAAAGTCTCATTCAGTGTTACATTCTGATAAGCGTTCTAATAAGTGCACTATATGTGGAAAATCCTTCACAACCAATAACTATATGAAGATTCATACATTGGTTCACAATAGGGAGCGACCTCATAAATGTACTACATGCGGAAAATCCTTCACAGCTAGTAGCACTATGAAGAGTCATACATTGGTTCACACTAGAGAGCGACCTCATAAGTGTACTATATGCGGAAAATCCTTTATACGCCAAGGCCATATGAAGACACATGCATTAGTTCATTCAGGAGAACGGCCTCATAAGTGCACTATATGTGGAAAATCCTTCACAGCTAGTAGCACTATGAAGAATCATACATTGGTTCACACTGGAGAGCGACCTCATAAATGTACTATATGCGGAAAATCCTTTATACGCCAAGGCCATATGAAGACACATGCATTAGTTCATTCAGGAGAACGGCCTCATAAGTGCACTAAATGTGGAAAATCTTTCACAGCTAGTAGCAGTATGAAGAGACACACATTGCTTCACACTAGAGAGCGACCATTTAAGTGCACTAAATGTGGAAAATCCTTCACAACAACTGGCCATATGAAGACACATGCATTAATTCATTCAGGAGAATGGCCTCATAAGTGTACTATATGCGGAAAATCCTTCACAACAAGTGGTTATATGAAGACACATGCATTAGTTCATTCAGGAGAACGGCCTCATAAGTGCACTATTTGCGGAAAATCCTTCACAATCAAAAGCAGTATGAAGAGACACACATTGGTTCACACTGGAGAGCGCATTGTGCACTAAATGTGGAAAATCCTTCGCAACCAATAGCAGTATGAAGAGACACACATTGGTTCATACTAGAGAGCGACCATTTAAGTGCACTAAATGTGGAAAAACCTTCACAACCAATAGCAAGATGAAGAGACACACATTGGTTCACATTAGAGAGCGACCATTTAAGTGCATGAAATGTGGAAAATCCTTCACAACTAATAGCAAGATGAAGAGACACACTTTGGTTCATACTAGAGAGCGACCATTTAAGTGCACTAAATGTGGAAAATCCTTCACAACAAGTGGCCATATGAAGAGACATATATGCCTTCACACCGTAGAATGACCTTGCAAGTGCACTTTATGTGGAACTACGTATGGAAAATCCTTTAAAACCAACCGTGCAATCAAGCAATATAAATTTTGATTTATCCTGGAGTGCGACCTTATAAGTTCAAAACATGCGGATATTCTGAACTTGCGAAACTGATTACAATAGACATTTACTTAATCATACACCATCAAGAGTTCTTACAAGTTAAATTGGTGTGAAACATTTTGTAAATTGATAATTGACTTTAGAAACATGTAGGATACATTGGTAGACCATGAGCCACCAATATGAAACCCTCCCCCCCCTGTGGGAATTTATGACTTATACTTTTTTTTGTTGGTATTACCTACCAGATTAAGAATTCAGTTGTTTACTTCTTTTAAATTACAGCGTATTCCGGAAAATAAAGAAAAACTGTTAAATTTAAAAACTGTTTTATTTAAATTACAAAAGGGTAGCCTGCGTTAATTACTGGTGCAATATTTTTTTATGAACTTCTTTAGTATGTATTCAAAGGCTTCAAATGAAAATAAAAAAGTTAATAAAATACCCCCGCTGCAGTAAACCTGCAGGCAATGCGGATTTCAAATTGGCCTGAATTGATTTTAAATTAAATCTATTTAAATAACATTAGATTTAACGAGTACCTCTAGGAAAGAGATTTTATTTAAATTAAATAAATTTTATTGAGCAATTTTAGACGTAAATTTTACTGGAATGTAAGGTTTCAGTAAAATTAACGTCTAAAACTTTGTTTTCCTCGTATCAAAATCGGATTTGTGACAATAATTTTATCTTTTAAATCTCTTTAAAATAATGTGCTGATTGATATGGGTTGCCATTTAAAAAAATTTAAGTTACTCTCAGCAACCCTGTTTGCGGGTGGGAGGTGAATTTCAAAATATCACCAAAAAGAACCTTACATTACCCTAGAAACATGTATTGAAGCTTGTTTGAATCTATGCATATTTGTGCTGAGACCATTCATTATTTAGCAGGTTAACCCATTGTTCCTTATTTTTACCATTAGCTAGGACTTTGGACCTCTCATTAAATCGTTTCTCAAAATACCCTCCTCTCTTTTAATGTTTTAATAGATACATCTAAATAGGTATCTGTAATAAAGTATATCCTGCTGAATTTCGGAAAACGGCTGAAGGCAATCTGTGCTAGTTCACCAGAGGTTTCTGGAATATTAGTAAGAACCTAAAAGTAAGCCATACCGTCAATTACATAGGTACACACATTCTTCAATCTTGGGAGGTTCGTCTAGTATGTACCCTTGTTCTCCAAAGCATGGAGCAGTTTGGCCTTTTCTGTTTTGTTGGGCATCCATCGACAGTGGCTGATGCCCATGGTACTGGATCTAATAGGTATGTCATCAGCTTCTCAAGGTTAATATCACGTTCCTGGGACAGCAGTAAAACTCCAGAGAAATATTTCTTAAAGGTCTTATCTCAACTAATCTGTTTGCATGCAGCTTTCCCTAGATTATCTACATTGAGTAAATTGTCTTCCACCGATTCGGGTACAGTTCTTCCAGCTGATAACAGACCATCTAGGAATTCTGATCACGGTTTTCAACTTCAAGCAGAATAATGCATTGTTCAAAAGCATCAAGTACAGTACTTGCAAAATACTTTGCTCACTTCGTTTCATTTCATTTGCTTGCATGTCACTGAGAACAATCTGATGACTTCACCTCACCATACTTGCAGTTTCAAATTCTAACTAGCTGTGGGCCCGTCCTACGCACAGGAATCAACTAATCAAATCAAAACAAACTAAAAAATCTATACAAAAGGACCCATGCTGCACTGCAGCGTTAAATATCATATCCGAGAAATAATCAAATTTATGATTTTTGATTGTGTAATACAGTATTTTAAACTTAACTGATTCAAACGATCAATAGCTCAAATTAAAGCCTATAACTGACTGATTATTTTGAGTCTAAAACATATAAAAAAAACCTAAAAAATACTGGAGCTATTGATATTTAATCATAGAAAAACCTTGTAATTTTTTTTTATGTCCGATGTTTACCTTTCGTTTGCTTGAAACCCGTCCGATTTGAATAACTAATATCTTAAATGCAAGCCGGTATTTAACTGAAGGTTCTTATACCAAAATATGTAGGGTTAGCCTATATAATTATAAATGGTAAAATACCGTACAATTTAATTTGAAATACGAATTAAAAAATATATTAAATCCATGTTTTTTGGTCGAGTAATAAAAAAGATAAAAATACAATGATGCTTGGTGTTAAATATATGTGTGCATACTACCAATTTAAGACCTCAATCATGAAGATCGGACGTGTAGAAGAGCCAAAGAAACCAGGGCCGGACTTAGGACTTCAGGGGCCCCGGGCAAATTTTCCGATGGGGCCCTAGGATTTCAGTTCGGGGGGGGGGGGGTCCTCCAGTGGGATTGGGGGGTCCTCCCCCGGGAAAAATTTCTAAATTTAGGCTTCAAATAGAGCAATTTAAGGCCAAATAAGCAATAAGTTCTATATAAAAAATTTTTCTTAAAATATAACTATTTTAACATATTTTTATATACAGCATATTTTAATTTTTTACACAAAAAATAAAAATGTGTTGCTTTGTAGTACTAGTGACGGCATATTTGGTATGGTAGCATGGTAGGCTACCATCATATATTTGGATTATAAGTATTGATATATTTTTGTTTATTACGTATTTCAATTATCGATTATTGCCGTCGATTTGTATGGTTTTTCAATATTACTACAATATAGGTGTGATTATTTTATTTTCATAATGGTTTTGGTACCTATGGCATTCTTGATTTTATAATATGTTAAAGTCCTAGCATGAAAAGTACCATTAAGGACTTTCAAGTTTGAGTTTTTTATTGACGAGCAAAATCTTGCAATGTCTAATAAACACTCACAAGCTAACTATTTATAACTGAAAGATGTTTAAATGGATCCAATATCGATTAATACAACTCAAACATAGCATTGAATACCACATTACTCACTTCAGCTTTTTTTTGTACTGTTAGTTTGCAGAATTACAATAAAATAACACAAAAATAAGACAATTTCAACCAACTTGACGTGACCAATAGTCTCAAAGGACAAACTATGGGAGTAAAGTGAATAAAGTGATTTAAATTGTTTTGGATAGGCGATAAGGCATTTTATGTGTGTGTATGCGCGTGCGTGAGACAGACAGGACTAGACAGGATCCCTTATCAGCTCATTATCATTTATTGTTGCACCTGCTTCTGCTTATTCGCTTGATTTCAGTCGTCAACGCTCGCCCAATCCCAATAAATGTAATTTTTTTGTTAACATCAGACGACTCTAGTTGTTTTAAAGTGTCTATATAGATTTAAAAAATCTTACTGGTGCTATATGATTTTGACTCCAATAACTAAATTGGAGATCAAAATTTTGACGCATAAATTAATTAATTACTATTTTACAAAACCTTTAAATTGAACAGATAATATACTTCTACCCCTTAAAATCCTTATTGGTATATACTTAGAGGTAAAAGAAAAGAATAACATTTAATAAAACATAAACGGAGCAATGTTTTTATTTTAAAAAGTATTTGAACTCCAGTAAATCTCCATTTAACACAACACAATTTTACAAGTTACGTTCTACGTTGGGACAAGAGTTTTCATATTTATTGTATTTTTGTCCCAAGCGCGGGACCCCCTTAAACTCATTCGCCGCGGCCGTACGTTCGGGCGAGGTAGGACATTGAAACTGAAACTTGTCCGTCACAGCCTAGCACATATGCTCGTGTAAACCAGGCCTATACTCCGTTCACACAGCCGTGGCACCTGACGGATTAGGACACCCCATGGAAACCCTTGGGGCCTCCTAATCCCTCAGGTGCCACGGCTGTGTGAACGCACTATAAGCGTGGGGCCAAGTGCAACTCTGAGAAAAAGTCCCTTAGGGTCAAGAATTTCATTCCTAGTAATGCCTTAAAATGCACCTTACAATAACCTTAAACATAGGATAACGAAAATAAAAATAAAGCTGTTACAAAAGAAGGCCATTTGGTAAGTGTCTGATCAATTTTCGAAGTTATTAATAAAAACTACTGTACAAAGGGGGCCCCTGTCGGGGCCCCCCTTGGCCCAGGGGCCCCGGGCGTTCGCCCCCTTCGCCCATAGGTAAGTCCGGCCCTGAAAGAAACTCGGAAACCAAAAAACAAATTTAACTCCCTTTAGAAATACATGGGGGACAAACTTAATTTACGTATAAGCCGAGTGTGACTGTCGATAAATATATACTGATGCTTGATGTGAAATCTGTGCGTGCATACCATCTATTTGAGATTGAGACCACAATAATGAAAATCGGGTGGGTAGAAGCGCCAAACGAACTCTGAAAAGAAAAACCAAATTTAACTCCTACAAGAAATCAATGCGGAGAAAATGTCGTTTACGTATAAGCCAAGTGGGACTGTAGACAAATATATGCCGATGCATGATGTGCAATCTGTACGTTAATACCTTTAATTTGAGACCTCAATCATGAAAATCGGTCTGGTAGAAGAGCCAAACGAAATCGGAAAAGAAAAACATTTTTTTTATGTATATGTATTCTAACTATCATGATATTTTCGTGTTTTCTGGAACATGCTGTAATTCACAAGTGGCAAACACCAAAAATCTTAAAGTACGTGTCAATACGAGCACAAAAATGTATATTTCAAAAATTCCCACCAGGGTGGGAGGGGGGGTATAGACCAGCCTCCGCTCTATTCATGCCTGAGTGCGATGTTGACTAACC